TTCCTCAATGTCTCCTTCTCCCTCTTCAATCTCATCGCCGTATCTTCTAATTCAAGCAATGCTTGTTGCTCCCTTGGTGCCCCTTCAAACGTACTTCCCACGAAGAACGAAAATGGCGTCGGAAACAAATTCCTCCGCAAATCCGTTGCCTCCTTCTCCGGTTTCCCATTCAATCTGTTCGATAAACGAATCACATCTTTCATATAACTCTCCACCTCATTCGCCAAACCCTCCACGTCATCCTCCCCATTCGCCGACGGCCGGTCCTCCAGCCACGTCACCTCTGCAACCAAATACGGTTTAGACCGAACCAATTTATTGACCCGAAACCGCTCCTGCCCTTTACAGATTAAGAAAAACCGGTCATCCACCAGCCGCTCATGCTTAACGACTTCTCCAACGCATCCAACGTCGGCGGTGCCAGTGGCGCTGTCGGAGTAAATAACCCCAAAACGAAGGTCAGTTTGGAGAAGGGTATGCATCATTATCCGGTAACGAAACTCGAAGATTTGGAGCGGGAGAATAGCTCCGGGGAAGAGAACGAGAGGAAGAGGGAAAAGGGGTAGCTCAACGACGTCGTCTGATTTAGGTGAACCAGTGTGGTGCTTCTCCGGGAAGGAGGAGGAAGCAGAGCATCTGATACCATTCGAGTTACGCTGGCGCCGGTGCTGGAGTAATAATTTAGAAGAAAACTGGCATTGGGGGTTATTAAATTGAGGGATTAAGAAGAAATTACTAGGGTTTAAGTGGGGTTTGTGAGTGAATGATGAAGAAGGAGAAGGTAAGATTTGAGGTAAAGCCATGAAAACCAGAGGAATAAAAATGGAATCTTGAAAAATTAAAAAGTAGACATTGATGAAGAAAACACGAAAAAGATCAAGAATGGTTCTTGATTAAGCGAAGAAGTAGTAGGAGAATGAATCACTTTCCATCCAAATCCACACAAATTGTAAACCTAAAAATATCCATGGGGGGTTTGATGTATCTGAGTGTGGTGAGAAGATTTACACGTGGAAATATGTTATCTAGAGCTTACGTGGCAAATTTGTTATGTTGAATGGTTTATACTATTTGTCACATCAATTATTTGGATTTTCATTTTCCATCCTACAAAAACAATCTGATCAGATCATCTATAGTATAGGAAAATTTCCATATTAACACGGCTATAGTAGAGTAGTAAGTAAAAAAAATTTTGCATAATACATAAAGAGGACCTTTAACTTGACATCAATTTACAACTATGACCTTAAACTTTGCTAGTGCACAAGTAGACACTTCAACTATCCAAAAATTTAACAATTAAACACTCTAATCCTACATGGCAAAGTGCGTGATCATGCTTTTAAGGTAGTATAGAAGATATATATATATATATATATATATATATAATATTTTTAATGAGTCAACACAGATTAACATGGGACACACGTGCAATGCACGTGCCTAAACCTAGTATATATATTAGAGGGAAGAGTCTAAGCCAACAATTGAATTATTAAAATGTCCTTTAAAAGTAAATTGATTATTTTATTATTTTATAAGAAAATTACTTCTCTATTTTTTTCAACAGAATATTTCTTAAATTAATTATGTATTAAATTTAATTGAAAACACCTTTCATCTACCCTTGGACTTGCACAAATTCTATGAACTTTTTTATTTACAAGTTCAATATTGGCATAATACATAAAGAGGACCTTTAACTTGGCATCAATTCACAACTATGACCTTAAACTTTGCTAGTGCACAAGTAGACACTTCAACTATCCAAAAATTTAACAATTAAACACTCTAATCCTACATGGCAAAGTGCGTGAAACACACTTCAATTAGGCGCGTCAGTGGTAAAAATAAAGGCCCCAACAGTAAAAAAAAAAAAAGCTTAAATGACACTTCTACCCTTAATGAATCTCTTTCATATATATATATATATCCTTTTTTAAATCAAAATCTCACTTTACTCTCTTCTTTCTAATTTCTTCAACAGCTTTTTGCCATTTTCCTCTCTTTCTTCACAATTTCTTGAACAATTTTACCTTTGATTCGAAGAATGAAATGTAGGGAACTTAGGTTAGGATTTTGTAGAGAAGAAAGAGGAAAACGTTGTTCTCCGTTATAAGCATAGGGTCAGAGTTGTTAATTGGTATTTTTTTTGTTTTTTTTTTCAGTTTTTTAATTGAAAAATCCACGTGTATTTATTTTAATTAGTTGGCAGCCACGTAGAAGCATTTGTATATCACGCACTTTGCCTGGGATATACGAGTGTTTAATTGTTTAAATTTGTGATAGTTAAAGTGCCTACTTGTGCACTGGCAAAGTTTAGGGTCATAGTTGTGAATTGATGCCAAGTTAAAGGTCCTCTTTATGTATTATGCCTATTTATTTTATTTTTATTTTCAGTTTTTTAATTGAAAAATCCACGTGTATTTATTTTAATTAGTTGGCAGCCACGTAGAAGCATTTGTATATCACGCACTTTGCCTGGGATATACGAGTGTTTAATTGTTTAAATTTGTGATAGTTAAAGTGCCTACTTGTGCACTGGCAAAGTTTAGGGTCATAGTTGTGAATTGATGCCAAGTTAAAGGTCCTCTTTATGTATTATGCCAAAAAATTTCATTCATAGACATAGTTTTGATTTTGGGTTCGATTTCTTTGAGTATAAGGTGCTTTAACCTTAATATGAGAAATTTGAATTTAGTCGTATTCTAATATGAATATCAGATACCGACTAGAAAAGGAAGGAGAAAAAGGGAGAAGAATTCCATTTTTTAAAATAGTAAAGCAAGTACAGTAGTAGTAGTAGAGTAATAAATTTGGAGAAGTTGTGATGGAGATGGTTGGTTATGAATAAGGAAATGGATATACTTGAGGGAATAAAACTAGGAAATGATGGTTGGGTTTGTGAAAACTAGGGAATAGCTGAACTTTAACAAATAATCATAGCAAAATACATAAACATGACTCTTAACTTGATTTCAACGGATAACTATGTCCTTCAACTTTGAATGTGCACAAATAAACAGTTAAACTTGTATAAAATTGAACAAGTAAATACACGTGTCCTACATGACATAATACACGTAGAACGCCACGTAGGACACAAAATTACAATGTCGGGTGCCATGTAGGATGAATGTGTCAACTGACGCCAAATTTAGGGTTATGTTTATATATAAGAAATGACTAAACTTTAACCACATAGAGTGATCGAGCTTTATCATATATGCTTGAAGTTTAGGAGGAATGACTAAAAATTCTAACAAACTTCAGATATTTTGTATAACTTCAATTTTTATCAAATTTAAATTCAAACACGATATATCTAAAGTTATTTTGAAGGGAATGATTTACAAATATTTATGAAGCACGCATAATTTAAATGATGGTCCCATTAACACATCGTCCCCAACTCAGGGCACCACGATTAACACATTTTCTTGGGGGCTTGTGCCACATTAAAGGTACCCTTTGTTTAACTACGATGGGCAATGTCAGACCATTACGTGATGGGCCAGACGAGCCCAACTGCCCTCTCCATTTATGCTATTGATTTTTCCTTATTTGAGTTCAAATAAGAACAATGTCAATGTCAATCTCTTTTTTTTTTTTTTTTGAAAACTTACCTAAGTATATAATTTATTTTATAATATTCTCTATTATTTGAAAAAATTATAAAAATTTCGACTTTACGCAATATATTAGTTTGATACATCACTTTACGCGATATATCGAGATGTTACTTTAATGTGTCAATCGGATATATCACTTTACACGATGCATCAGAACGTACACGATGTATCGGGAGGTTGAGTGATGTATCCGAAACCGAGACGCGGTGTATCAAGATGTTTTGGGATGTATTCGGATTTCACCAAATTTAAGAGATTTTTGTAATTTCGAAAAGAGTAGGAATAAAATGTAATTAGCTCGTAACACTATGAAATTTGTGTAAAATCTTCTTTTTTAAGACCCCTACACACATACTACATGATGTTTTATGTGGCGAACTGATAATTCACGTCATACATGTATTATATCACGTATAATTTGTGTGTCAACTTATTCAATTTTATACAAATAGTGACTACTTATACATATTAAACATTGAAGTATTTAAATACTAGCTAAAATCAAGTTAAAAAATACGTTTATGTATTAAATCAAAATTAAAAGAACCTATCGAAAAGTAATAATTATTTAAATGAGCTCATATTCAATACATATTTTACCATATCAAAACTAGAAAGGGATGCCGTGTTTACAAGTCCTACTATAAAAACTTCTCCTAATCCGTTGATTTCTTAAGATGGTCTGTTTTAAATTTGGTCAATTTTAGATAATGAAATAATGATTCCCAACTAACAATAAAATAATCTTTAAATCGAACAATCTATAAAATAAATCGTATAAACAATACTCTGCTAAGATTTATTAAAGACAAATAGACATTTAATTTTAATGTCACCTTAGAAGTCATCAAAGTCGTCGTTGTTTCGTCATTTCTTATTCGTTGGTATTTTTATATGTAACTAGTCACTAATGAGGTCGAACCAAAGTTACAGTGAAATGATAAGTATTTTTTTATAATTAAATTTTTTGAATTCTCAAACAAAAATAAAATCACCTTTCGTTGAAAATAAAAATATTTTTGTTGAAAATCAAGTTTTTATCAGCTACTTACACGATATTTGTATTGAAATTTTGATAAAAAGTGATTTTGTATTATAAAAAACTTCGAACCTAAAACATCTGGATGAATAAATATTTATCGCTCTGAGTCGGTTACAAGAGTCCAAGTTGTTCTTTGTTAAGTGATAGATATAACTTTTGCCCACGTGTTTTCACGTCGCGTGGCATACAATTTCCCTACCACTTAAACCGACTGAATAAAATGTTCACACCATGTGACGCGTTTCCCTAATTCGTAATTAAGTTTGAAATCCATTACATTTTGGTAATTTACTATCTACCCTTTCCTGTATAAAGTCTCTGCCAAAGGGAAGATGCTGTGCATTGTGCGTTAGTTTTACGAAGAGCTAAGGATTTGTTTGGTGTTATCTATTTTGAATTTCTGATTTCTAAAATCTGTGAGAATGGCTACTTCATCTGAGGAAGGACAAGTGATCGGCTGCCACAAGGTTGAGGAGTGGGATGTGCAGCTCCAGAAGGGCGTGGAGACCAAAAAACTGGTATAACTTTGATTTTTTCTCTTTGACAATGGCGATTTTGCTTTGTAACTTTGACTTTGTGTTATGGGTTTTGTTCAAAATTTGATTTTGTGAAATGGGTTTTTGTTGTTTCGATTTATTGTATGAGATTTTGTTGATTTTTTTTTTTCAGTTGCGGCTCGTCGGTGGGTTTGTTTGGGTTTTTGTATGCTTACCTAAAGTTTATTATTTGATTTTCAGTTAATTGTAATATGTTAACGTATGATTTGCTATTAATATAATCGTATTCTCACTCATTTGATTGGCTTAATTGTGATTTGGAACAAATTTGTAGTTAAAGTTGCTGTGTTTGCTGATTAGGCTTTGTGGGGTGGGGGTGGGGTGCTGGGTCGCTATCTGGACCCCTTGTGGAAAAATATATGCAATTCGTGTAATTTCAACCAAATATATGTATGTGTTCAAAAGGTTGTTTGAGCAGGATGTAAAGAAACCGATAGATGTGATGATGTATTTTTTTGAAGACATGGCCCAGTATAAAGTTGATATGATGCTTAACTTGTTGCTTTTGTGATGGTTAATTGTTTAGTTTCTTAAGGATTAACTAATCTAGGATTTGGGTGGGGCTTTTTTGTTATGCCATGGATTCGAACTTAGTATAGTTCTTTTTAGTAAAACCTTAACTTATATAAGTTGAGGTGAAGTCACCACACCGAGGGTATGGCAGGGGCGGAGCCAGGTTGGGGCTAAGGGGGTTCAATTTTATTTTTTTTATGTCTACATAGTAGATGTTGAACTCCTTTTGCCGTGGGGTGTGTTTATGATCTGGACAGTCGGTAGTTAAATGGTCAATGAAGGGGAGAACCATAATGGATGCAAAAATATTAGGTGATGTCTAAGTGGGCTCGGGTGATTTCTTCCTGCCTAAGTCTTAGACGGTAGAGTTACCTTGTAACCGTGTTAGAATAGTCAAGCTGCACTTTGACTTGAATACCGCCATCATCAAAGAAAAAAGTTGAGCCGGAGTCGTTTTACATCTAGTGTAGTTGCTAGAGCAAATAGTAGTTGTATGGATGATGATGGTATGCTTAAATATGCTTCAGATTTCTAGTTGTTGGGCGTAAATCTTTCTTGTAAACCAGCATTGCTTCAAACTTAGCATAAGCATATATATATTATGAACTTTTTAACTATATGAACTTATTCGAGTTGAGGTCACTTACATCTGTGCCTAGCTATTAGTTAGATCAAGTAGAATTAGTACAGAATAAGGCTACCTTTAAATATGCCTCAGAGTTTTAGAAATTGTTGGGCATAAATCTTTTCTTTCAACTGGTGTAACTCATGCAAAATACAACTTGTTGATTCAGGTGGTGGTGGATTTTACTGCTTCCTGGTGCGGCCCTTGCCGTTTTATTTCCCCAATTCTTGCTGAGATTGCTAAGAAGACGCCCCATGTTATATTCCTCAAGGTTGATGTTGATGAACTGAAGGTACGTCTGCGATCAAATTTTGCATCAATTTTATACTCGTTCTTTGACTAATGTAATCAGTGATTGTGATAGTAAATTGCGGTAACCTTTCTTGCAGAAAGTTTCAGAGGATTGGAATGTGGAGGCAATGCCTACCTTTGTCTTCATTAAAGAGGGGAAAGAAGTGGATAGGGTGGTTGGTGCCCATAAAGAAGGATTGCTTCAGACCATAGAGAAGCATGGTGCTGCTCCTGCTATTGTGACTGCTTGAGGCTTAATCAAGGAGATGATATTATAGTATTTAGTCTTGTCTTTTGTAATAACTCTGGATGGTTGTATGTTTTATTATCCACCATGTTTTTACTGCTTTCTTGAAAGATTTGTAATGTTGGTGCTTGGAATCTGACATTTGTGCATATGGTGTTTACTGGTGTAAGGCTATATGCCCATTTCTATCAAAAGACTCTTTTCCCATTTCTACTTTTGTCAACCTTCAATTATTTGCTTGGATAGCTCTAGACTTATTTATCATTGCATAGATCTTTTGGTTGTGTACATTATCATCAGCATCTAAGATCACCTTTGAGCAGGTGTGAATTGAAAAAAAGTAAGTACACTTTTAGAATTTGAAGTTGCGTTTGAACATGAATTGCGCTGGACTGAAGATTTGTGATTCTATTCCCTCTTGCTCATATTCATAAATGGATATGAAACATGATTTGAGATATTGTGTCTAGGGACTTGATCTTGTTTTCTTTATAAAGGTCATGGGTTACACAATGTCAGAAAGAATGTGAGATACCAAACTGTGTACTTGGAACAGAAGACATCAAACATATACATCCACCAAGCATAGTGGAAATTCATAATGGTTAATTCTAATAAAACAAAAAGAAACAAGAAATTCTACCAGATCTTGGATTTTCCAAGAAATGAGATGGAACTCATGATCAAAGCCTACAGAACAAATAAACTAAACTCATGAAGTTGTCCTTTTCACTAGCAATATCCTTGATACATCACCACCTATTTCCTCGAACAAGATGAGCAAATTTTGTGTCGGTTTCAACCAAGATCTTGGGACATGGTACCTACAGAAGCAGAACAGGCAGAGTACTTGTTAGCAAATGCTATTGTGTTGATGATATGAAAGAAATCTAAGGTATGATTGATGAAAGAATCAGTAGAAATTCAAGAACTACCATTTTTGAGTTGGCTGACCACAACCAAGTTGACATTTTGTTTGTCTGTATGTTCCAGCATAGTGGAAATCATCACATTTGCCATTAGCAGATGCTGTCCAATATCGACCTATGCTTTGTCCATTGATCCATACTTGTCCTTTACCCATGCTTCTCATGTCTAGTGCCACAGGGTCATTTCCTTCTGGTGCATCAAAATAAGCCTGCAGAGGCGGATCCAGTATTTAAACATAATAGCTTCAAGTTTCGGATTTCTTTGAGAATATGGTCTATATACATATCTATGATCTATACTTGAAATGATCAATGTGTTCAATTGATCCCACTCCCAAAATTCTGAGTACGCCTCTAGTCATAAATCTTAACGAGTTTTTGTTAGAACTTAAATCTTTTTCTCATTTACTTACCTTATACCATTTAAGAGGTTGTTGTCCTTGGGTAGCTACTGCACCACCAATCCATTCAATGGAAGATGCTCCGTGTTGAGAGATCAAGTTCATTGTTTCTCCTTTCAATCCAACCTGAAGGATCGCTTTAACTGTCAATGATCTTTTAAAAACAAACAGAAGAGTAAAAGATTTGGTAAAGATTCAGTACTCTGTATGTCCATTTCTGTGACGATAAATCTTTATGGCCTTGGTTGAGACCTTGAAGAACAACTGGCCCGAGTATTCCTGTATTCCATTCCTCATAATGCAGTCCAATGTTCTTCAAGGCAATAAGTGTAATTATAATCAATTGAGAACAAAAACTATTAGTGCAGCAAAATAGAGTAACAAAAGTTACATCTGTTTTTGCCTATGAATGATGAGTACTGTAGGCAAAGATGAGAAACTAACCGGCAGGCCAACAGCAATGCTCAGTAGCTCAATTCTATTTGTTCCAGCCTGCAGATCAACTGGTCCTGTGAAAGTGAACTTTGTGTCCTTCCGAGTACCATAAGAAGATCCTGAAAATTGCAAATTCCACAGAAGGAAATATAAAAAATGCTTCCTACTAGCTGTTCTACCAAATATGTGCATATAAGCATCATTACCTGAGAGTTTCCCATTTACAAAAACATGAACTGCGTGTCCACTTGAGTAGACGTTGAGGGTTGGTTTTTGTCCCCCTCGTAGAAATGATTCTGAGGGACTAATATCGACACTGCATTCCAAGTAAGAAAGTGAATTCATTATCAATATTAGAAAAGTTTATATACTTATGTTTGGATGATTTTTTTCGACTTATTTATGAATCTCACCTTGTTATGTACCACAAGTAATCACTGTTATCTCTGGTGATATTTATCTGCTCCAAAAGTCCTACAGCTTCAAATGTTGAGCTGTCCTCTAAAGAAAATACATCTTCACTATAGGCCCCCCAAGAGTGGAGCTGAGAGACAGTTGGTGTCATACGCACTTGTGAAGTTCGAGCCCCAACCTTATCAAGAAAAAGATGTCTTAAATTACTAAGCTGAAAGGCAAAGCACATAGCTACGGAAAGAGATTGAATGACAATGAATAGTGTCTGTTGACAGTACTCAACCAAGGTCCAAATTTGCAATTGCACAAATGCTTGTTGAAATCTTGCTTACCTTTGCAGTATTGAAGGCAACATGGCTGCAGTCTGGAAGAATACTGATAGACCAAGGAGGTAGATTAAAGTGCTTGTTGTTAAAAACTACTGTAGCAGCAGAGTTACTGTCGTAATTTGAGAGAAATGCTGCACAGTTTCCTTTGCCAGACGAGAATACGTGAGCCTAGAATAAATGACTTTTTTGATTCAGAAAGACAAACAAGTAAAGCAAATTTCATATTTTTTGAGGTTAAGAACCTTTGTAATTGACACTAACCTGCTGATAGTTTCCTAGTGAAACAACAGTGGGATCTGAAGATAATAAAGCGCTCTCACATAGTTTAATTACCCTGTGGAACTCCTTTAGATGGCTATATTTAGGTTCCCTGATCAAACCTGATTACACATGAGGTTAAGAAGTTAGCTGATAACTAAAAGTTCAATCTAGAGCTTGATCAGGTTACTTCAGCATATGTCATGAAATGAAATAGAACGTCTTTCATAGCGATAATGGTAGACAAGGACTATAACTTAGAGATTCAGTGTTCTAAATTCACGCGCAAAAGGACTTTCTAGCCATCATGGACTAAGCTGATTAATCTCACCATATTCATCGATGGGAGCATCATAGTCATAACTTGTTGTTATAAAAGGTCCTCCAGCTGTACGGCCAAAGTTGGTTCCCCCGTGGAACTGTTAAAAGAAGACATAATTAAGACAAGCAAGATCATTCATCCTATTCAAGCATCAACATGTTCAGTATGAACGTTGGATTTTCTTTTTTTCCGGAGGAAGTTTATTACCATGTAGTAATTAACAAATGAGCCACCTTTTTGTATGAAACGAGCAACTGCAAATGCCAAATCTTGAACTGGCCTCATAGGTATTGTGCCACCAAACTCCGTGAACCTTACCTCAAGAAACAAGAATTTGAGAATCACCTTATGAAAATGAGCATATATGAAAATGAGCATATGTTTGCATTACCAGCCAGTCCAAGCTTCAGTCCACATAGTTGGTTTGTAAGGTTTGTTGGGAGAAAATTCATCACAGTAAAAACCATTGCATGTATTTATCTGATTAAGACACATGTTTAGAGCCCTCAGTCAGTAGTTTCAAGGACGTTATGCCTAAATCCGAGTTATGAATGTAAATATATATACTGAGAATAACGGGAGAAACTCACAATAGGGTCAGGGGCATCATCCTCTTTGCACATAACCCACGGGACACCAGTATTTAATCCAACAGCCATTTGTGCAGCCCATTGGACATATGCTTCACCAGCTGCTCCAAGCGCCTCCCTTTCTGGTTGATATTCATTTTCAATCTAACCAAACACAACTTCAAAACACTCGCTAGATAATTGCGCGGTATATCATGCATTTCAGAAAACAGAAATTCTATAAATTTCATACCTGAGACAATATAATGGGACCTCCTTGAGATTCAAACAAGTTTTCACTCTTCATCATCTCAACTATTTTATTGGTGAATTTTTGCATTGCTGCCTTTACCACAAAAACAATTGAAATGTCAATACTACAACTCATGATCAGAATCTATCAATTTATCAGAGAAGAAACAAACATGTACAAAAATTGGTGCTGTACTTGTACAATATAGTCGAATAAAGTTCAGTTACTTTAACACAACAAAAAGATCATTTTTTGACTTTGGACAAACCTTGAAAGGTTCATTATCTGTTCTGAAGCTGATACCAGGAACATATTTCAACCATACAGGAAATCCTCTGCATCAAATGAGAGGTTACAGACTCATTAGCTCATTCTTGAAATCAACCATATGATGTATAATATGTGTACGATCGTGCATATTCTATGTGTATCTATAATCTGTCCATCTATTTGTGTAAAGGTCCCTCAAAGTAAAGCTATTACCCAAAATTCCACTCAGCACAAACATAAGGTCCAATGCGCAAATGTGCATAAAGCCCAGCTTTCTGCACAGTCTTTATAAACCTTACAAGATCATATCTCCCATCAAAATTATACTGTCCACAAGAAAATGTATTGTATATTAGCAATCAGTAAACATAAAGATCAAGTCTTTTGGGGTAAATTGTACACTCACATTGCCAGGGGAAGGTTCATGAACATTCCAAAAAACATAAGTTTCAATAACATCCAAGTTTGCATCTTTGGCCTTGTTTATAAGATCTTCCCACATCTGCAACACTCCCATTTCATTTAATTCATCAGTACATTAACATTTAGTCGAGATGGTCACACATTTTAACAAAAAGTGAGAGTACCTCAGGGGTGCTTCTAGGATAATGTATGGAACCAGATAGAAGAATTCTTCTTTGGCCATTAATGATAATGGCCTTCTTATCATAGGTAACAATGCAAAAGACCAGCTGAACTACCATTAGCAAATAAAAAGTATAAACTTTGAGGAACTTGGAAACTAAACTTGTCTCCATTTTTTTCTCAACACTTGTAATACAGAGAGTCAAGAAATGTAGTATGCAGAATGGCAATATATATGGTGCTGTTTGGATTCTTCTTGCTCATCAGCTTAGCTCACTAGTGGGCTACGAAGAGGGAAGAGTGTACACAGACCTAGCCTACCTCGTGGAGGTAGAAAGTATATTTAATTCCATAAGATCTTAGGATTAATAGTGTATAAACAAAGCAATTTGAAAATGTAAGCAAATAATACGATAATCAAAACACAAAAAAATAATAGATAAAAAGA